TTTTTTTAAAGCAGTTATTTGAAAAGTGAATTGATTGGGTGGACGCAGGCCATGAAATCCTCAGAGGCTGAAGTGCAGCTTTAGAAAAAGAGAAGCAAGAAAATGGCAATGTCAAGACAAAGAAAGTAATTAATCAAAAAATTAAAAGTGTGCAGCGTTTGAGTTCCATCCTCAACTCCCAAGAGGAAACACTTTCCAGTGTATAGTTAATACAGGATGAGCAAGGAATTAGACGTTACGATTGAACAAAGAATGTTCAATACGACATGCCACACATACGATGCAGAGATTCACTGTGAAATATTTCAAGAAATCAGATTTGTCTCTGTTCAGTTCTCATCATCAAGCCTTTCACGATGAGCATGTCAGGTGCATCCTGTTCTACACCAGGCATCTGCACTTTTACACAATGTAAGAAGACAGTTAATTCTTGCTAATTACATTTGATTGGGGAATCAAACCCTGTAGAGAATCCAATTAAACCAGGTCTGTAAAAAAGCTTTTAAACACCCAGTGTGTGTGTGTGTGTGTGTGTGTGTGCGTGCCTAAGCATCCACATGTGATTTGTGTGGGAGGAAGTGATTAATAGCAAGAATAAATAACAGGGTTCAAGCTTCAGAAGACTACACCCCACACACAGACACACAGACACACACACAGATGTCTCTGCATCCACCGGCTGTAAGAACTCACATATCAAAACCAAACACATTAAAGTAGGTCTCATCGTCCACTGTGGACTAGAAGCAACACCTAGTTTAAATAATGTTGGTCCCAAATCCACAGGAAACACAAGACAAAGACTCTCTTAAGAGGTCAAACTTCTCAAGCTTCTTCAAAAACAACATGGCATGTGTCTAGAAATGGAGGAAGAAGCAGGAAGTGATTTGATGCAACATTTCATAGCAGAGGTTCTGTCATCCCACCTGAGAGATGCCGTCAGCTTTAAAAGTGAGTGTGTGTGTGTGTGTGTGTGTGTGTGTGTGTGTGTGTGTGTGTGTGACTGCATCGACAAAAGTGAGCTGACGAGAGAGAGATCTGACTGAATCAATGATCTGTGTGAAGCAAGACATTACCAATTAAAGTTATCAATCATTACGTGGTGGTCAATGTTGATATTCTTTAATATCAACATTATTAGTAATAAATGAAGTGTAGTGTGTAGTAGTGTGTAGTATTGTGTAGTAGTGTGTAGTAGTAGTAGTTTTATTGTAAAGTAATTTCTGTAAGAAATAAAGAATTTAAATAAACAAGTAATTAATGTTTACAGCTTTCAATTTCCAATCCTGTGAAGTCGTGATTTTTTGGTGACAAAGAAAATCTTTTCTTTTGCCAATATTTGTCAATACCTCGGTCACAGTTTTTGATGAGCAGCTGATTTGTATGTCTCACATGTCACTAACACCAACACACACACATGCAGCCAGGATGTAAACTGTGGATGGTAGCCACTCATACAGGCAGCACCTGTCAGCTGGTGTTCTGGGAAAGCCAAGGGCTTCCTCCCTCTCTTTCTCTCTCTGTGTGTGTGTGTGTGTGTGTGTGTGTGTGTGTGTGTGTGTGTGTGTGTGTGTGTGTGTGTGTGTGTGTGTGTACCTCCATTCAAGGTCCCTCTCTTTTTTCTCTCACACCCCCTCACCTCTCCACCTGCTGTTGCTTCCTTCACTCCATCCTGCCTCCGTCATTCTCACTTCATACGAAGCATCATACCACCATCCATGAGATCTCCCTCTCTCTCTCCCCCTCTCTCTCCCTTCTCTCTCCCCTCTCTCTCTCTGCACCTGTGACTGAAAAACAGACTCGCTCAGTCTTCCTCTCTCTGTCTTCCTGCTCATTACAGGCCCGAGGCAGCCACTCCATCACACAGAAAAAGGCTGAGATAAGCTACAAGAGTACACCTGTGCCTGGTATGAATGCCAAATCCAGAGCAGCCAGTGACAGCCAATTCCCGGCCAAATAATGGAATCAGCGCAGCCCGGCTTCAGACAAATCAACCTGACGGCTTTATCTCCCGACTCCCGATTTCAAAGCACGTTACAAACCTCATTATCAAATGAGAAAAGCAATCAGTAAAGAGAAAAATGTTGACACTGCTACAATGCGCCGCTCGAATGGGATTAAGTTTGCACCGCTCATTTACAGAAGGAACAGGTGGGAGAGAATGAGAAACATGTTTTCATTTCATCAGCAAAAGTCTCTGCTGAAATATGAATCTGTTATATTAACAACCACACGGTTTTAATACACTGGAATATATTGGAATGACAAATAAGGAAACATATTCACGACTGGAAATGAAAAGAATTAGACTATCATCTGTCGGTATGTATCTAAATACGCATCATGCTAATACAAACAGTATTGAGAAATTCCTCGATGCAGTGATGCATGCTGTAAATTTTCTAATAATTTCTTTGCATGTTTCCTGGAGAGAAGAACACAACAAGTCTTTCTATTTTTATATACTCTTCAAAACCTGTTCACTTTCTAAATTTTCTATATTTGAACAAATACGTTGGCACATTTTTGCTTTTTCAATTAGCCTGTTAGCACTTACTGACCTGAATCCTTTCAAGTGGAATTAAGTAATTGGAAAAGTATCAACTAAATAATTAATACTAAATGACATTTCTTTTACAGGAAAAATCCTGGAAAACATTACAGACTGAAAATAATGAGAACTGAAATTATTGATTAAAAAAAAAAAAAATTAACAACATTTAGCATTTATTCTAATTAAGCTTCAAGGCATCTGGGGAAAAGCAGGTGAATAACTTCATCAATGGTGATATTAAATGCATGGTTGTGTGTATATCATGTTTAATAGTGAAGTACTCGACTGTCCTAGGTAGAAAACATTTATCTTAAATATGGAAACTTCGCGTATCCATCAATATATCAATAAATTTAGTCTGATGAAATATTTTTCATTTCACGAAGAACAAAATGTAAATTTTCAAGTTTTCATGCATGTTTGGCTGACGATGTTAAAAAATCCTATTCATTGGCTTCAAGGTGAGCGCAGAGAAACTTTCCTCCTTATGCTGATGAGCATGAAAACTGCCCTACAGTGTAAACGCCTGCACATATATTATTCAGAGTTCAGTGTGTTTAGAAGGTTATTATTTGGTCTCACTGGTATCAGGATGAGTAGAATGGTATAACAATGTTGAGACAAAGAGGAAGCAGTTCAGGCCTGTACTTTAGCTAATGTGAAATAATGACAGTAGTTAGTTCCTCCATTCTGAGCACCATTATGAGGGAGTGTTCATTACAGAGAGCAAAGAGGAAATGTGTGTGTGTGTGTGT